GTGTGTGTGTGTGTGTGTGTGTGTGTGTGTGTGTGTGTGTGTGTGTGGGAGCGAGAGAGATAGACAGAGAGACAAAGACCACCTCTGTCAGTTCCCCCCTCCAGCATTAAGTTGTCCTTCTTGTCGCCACTGAATGAGCACCTAGTCACAGAGGAACTAATTAAGATGCCAAGTCCTATGACTGTACAGCTCTGCTGCTATTTGACATCTGCCCCATTTGCATTTGAGAGCCGTTTGAAGGCAGTAATTTAGCAGACAAATCCTTGTTTCTCAGCAGCACACCCACGTTAGCTCACCTACGGGCTTGGAAAAGACAGCTCCTCTCATCTTCGTCTTCAGGACCATAACCTCGTTTCCACAGGGCTTCGGCGAGAAGGGTGACAGAAAAATTTAAGATGCACGCACTTTCCAGCCCCCTTCTTTTTAACTTCACTTGGCACTGTAACGTTGATCTGCCTGATCAGTGCTGCCTGAAAAAGATAATCACTTTATCCCCATTGCAAACCGTGTTGTTATGAAAGGAAATGCTAAATATTACTTGTCTGGAGTCCAGCATCCTTTCCAGGCCTGCCACCTTCAACATTTCTTGGACCTGACAATTATTATCCTATTACACCACAGGTCCAAGGTTTCCATCGCAGTAGCTGAAGTTGTTTCCATTGTGCATGCAGAGCAGGCAGACAGCAGTAATGATGTGACATTCCCCTGCCTGCATACGCACAGCAGGCTAATGAGTGCACAAGCAATGTTGTTTCCATTCGCCCACCTTCAAAAAGACCACAAGTAGCTGAGGAGGTGGATTTAGCCTCCAAGGTCTCATGTTGTTGACAAAAAAAGAGGAGTATTCGTTCAACAATTTTATAGCAAAGTTGATGTGTTTAGGCTGCTTTGCAAATTAGTGGGAGCAAAGCATGTTCACACACCTCACCTTTGTTTTTCAGAGATGTATACAGTTGACTTTGACATTAAGATCATATATTTGAGACATTACTAATACATGCTCTTAATTTTGAATATTTCATATCAGAATGGTCAGAATATCCTCCGGTTAAACGCAGGCCATGACTAAAGCCTGGAACATCCTTCAGCGTCTGTGAACTGGCATGGGCGTTGCACGGAGGATTTTTCATTTGGCGTTTGCACAATTGTAGCTTCTGTTCCCTCCATGTTCCAAACCAATCAGCATTTGTTTGATGCAAAAGACCACAGGGATTTTGTTCACTTTAGCTCTTCTGGAACTAACCATGTTTACTTAGAAACCGAAATGTTGCATCCCTTCTCAAGGGTGTTTACATACTGTATATCTTCCAAGAATGTGCCAGGTGTCAATAATCTGCACTGACAGTGTTTAAAAAATAAACACTGGTGCTCACATGAGGTATTCAACCCCCTGATTATGGTCACCTGCCATGTCAAAAGACTGAAATGCAGGGATACATTTGGGTATCCAATATTCTGTCACTGGCTGTCGGCTACATAAGAAGTGGACGTAGTCACTCTGACGTCATCCGTTGGTTTGTGGGCCACGGTTTTGAAGCCTTGAGCTTTGCAAAACAAGACATTTTAGGGACACCAGAATGTTACAATTAACTTTCATGAACTGAGAACACACTGTGAAAGTGTTAAAGTTCTCAGACAAAAATGCGGACAACACCCAGACTGGACAACGTTGTGGTAGCAAACTGTCAATCAAAAGGTAGCAACGCCCTAGAGCATAACCTGCTTTATCCTCTATTTTACTCTAAATGAGACCATAATTTACTAAATGCTGTATTGAAGAAGACTTGAAACTAGCGTATTGAGACCATAAACTCATGTTTACAATGTTTGCTGAGGTAATAATTCAAGTGAGAATGAGGGTCATTTTGTTCATAGACGTATACAATCAGACTTCATACAGACAACAGTGTATGGTATTTGTTCTCTATTTATGCAGGGAAAGTCAGGCTGAGCAGTTTACAGTTGTAGCCTAAAACGAACAGTTACACTAAAAATAACAAAAGGTTACAAGAAGAGAATAACAGAAATGCAAACAGAAAGCAGCCACAGTGAAATGTAATAGGGCTATTATTAGAATTGGTCTTGAAATTCTGTAAAAAGGCTCTTGTTTTACAGAGAGGAGCCTGTTATATCAAGAGAATGCTGCATTATGGGTTGTTTGTAGCTTTAATTTTGCTAGATTTGCAAGTTTCTCTCCGTTCGTATACTCTGCTCTAAAGTGTGCAGAGTTAGTCAGCCCCAGATATGTCTAATAATCCCAGGCACTAGAGTTTCTGCTGGCTCATTTTTTACTGTTACAGAGGGGGAAAGGTGGAGAGGAAGGAAGAGCATCTCCCAATATTTTGCCTGCAGAAATGGGCCAGCAGATTTTCTGAGAGATCTTTGGTATGGTCCAGCATCTGTTGTTTTTCACACATTGTAGGTGTGTTCTCAACTCTGTTAATTACATTATGAAGGCTGGTTGCTTTTATTTTGAAGGTATGAGAAGAAAAAAAAGGAAGGTGGGTTTTGTTTAGCACCTGGGTGGGCGACAAGGCCACAAGGTTTGTCAAAATGTCCTTGTTGGTGTGAATGAGTGACTTTACAATGTAGGCCATTTTTTTGTAGTTTTGCAAAATTGGGTGAGTGTGAGCTAGCAGGGATGCTATGTTGGCTCACTGTAGCCTTTAGTAATTTCAGTCATGTTAACAAGCAATTAGCATTTCTTGGCTGTGCTACATGTAGTTTGAAGAAATGCTGTATCGTTACTGTGGAAGTGTGTATTGCATGAGCTACAGTAGCTTATATGGGGCGAAGCATGCTTGAATTGGATTGTTGGAGCTACATTTATGATTTTAAAAACTAGTTGAGTTTGTATAAACTGTTATGTTTTATGTTGATTGTAGTTTAAAAAATAAATAGGCACAGTGTAGCCTACTAGTAGCACCCTTTCATAGCTTGTCATTTTGTTAAGTTAACAGATGTTATCTTTTATTCTGTTTTCTTAGCTCTCATGGTGTGTTCATGTTTTTGGAGCTGCAGTATTATCAATAAGGCTTTTGGAGTAGACCCTCATTCAGCCGAGGATACTAAGAGCTATCATCAAGTGCCAAAGATAAGATGCCACTTTGTCAAATGTCATATGGGGATTACATGCCCCAAAACACAAGCCGAACATGTTGCAGGTAAGAGAAAACCTCCTTTTAGCTTCCAAAACTGTCTGTGAGTGTGGGACTTTGTGACTGAAAGCAAAATGAAGAAATAGCCTTTCTGGACACTCTCAAAAACTACAAGTGGGTGGCCAGCTCTGTTGAAAGCATATATTCTAACGATGGTTTAATGAAGAGCACAACTACCCAACACACAGCAGTAAGCTGGGTGCTAGCCAGGAATCGACCCAGCCGTAATTCACAGTTATATCAACTGGCTGTTTTGAAAGCCCCTGTGAACTTGGTATCGAGTAGGTATTTCTCTTCAACATTAAATATTCATGTCTAATAAGCAACAATCAAAGTTAAAGTTTTAAGAGACATCCTTGTTATTTAACAAGAGTAACTTAAGTTATTTAAGTAACTTAAGTGTGCTTGTTTTGCTAGTGATTTTAGACTACAGTTTTTTTTTTTTTATCTAGCACGGTTACTGGTTTTCTTTAGATATCAAACATCAGAGAGAGAGAGATTAGTCTCTCCTACTTTAAAATTACTTTTATAATAATAATAACAATAAAGACTAATTGTCTCAAATGTTGGAGCCAATACAGTTTAATCATATTGACTTTATAGGCAGATGAGACAGGTGCATTTCCACAAAGAGATCTAGCTTTCAGTGCATCTTAAGGTAAACATGACAGCGACACTATGAGGCCACAGGGGAGGGAGGGAGGGAGGGGGTGGTTGGCGGAGTGTGGGTGCGCACAGCTTGGCTTTGTTGCACGGGCACGGAAGCAGCGGTATAACCGATCACAGCTGCTGCCGTGGGGGAACTCGAGCTATTCCCGTCCCCCTTGGGTTGGTCACGTGTCCTCTGGGAGCGTTTAGTTTGGGCACCACGTTGGGAGAGAGGGAGAGAGAAGTAGCGCGCCCGTTGCGCACAGCCGAGTTGGAGAGCAACATCTTTAACAAGCGTTAATCCGGCGGCGAATCAACCAGATCGGTTTTGTTTTTGGGGCGTTGTCATAAACACTCCTCCGTGGTGTGTGAGATACACAGATCCGTCAGGCACCGACGCAGCGCGTGTGATCTCCTCAGTCACTGACTCGTCAAAAACTTCTGCGCTTACCAACTGTGGTTTCCACTGCGAGCGTCACATTGTTGCCAGCAACTGCTACAAGTCGACGAGTGGAGCTGTCCACGGCGAACTGAGGTAGGCTGCGCTTCTTTCCTGTGGGGTTAGAGGGACCAGACAGAGTAACGCGCGCTTTGGTCGAGTACAAACACTGTTGGCATGTGTGCACGGTGCGAGGATGTTGGATGTTGCAATGTGATCATCGACAGTTATCAACTGCGCACGAGTGAATGAAAATCTTTTCCCACTTGCACGGACACATGCAAGATGAGAAGAATGAGCGCGTGACTGATCTAGTGATCTTGTAAACGCCACGAGAGAGCAAAGGTGCCCTCGCAACTCTCTCGTATGTGCTGCGTCAGCATTACATCATGGACTCAATATGTATGCATTTAAATCTGGATTACATTGGGCCTACTGAGCCACGAGGTGAACTGTTAAGAGTGCTGAAACTACACTTAGTGTGACTGACAGTTTCTCTTTGGGGTCTGGATGATGTTGCTATTAGAAGGTTGCTTCGCTGAGTGAGATCTTTTCATGTGAGATCTTTTTATGGCAGGTTAAGCTGCATTAAATAATTTTGAGGTTTACTGAATGTATTTTCACATTTCCTGGAACCATCATTTCCGTCACAGTGTAGAAGTACTATAGGATCACAGAGACTGACCTGAGCTGACCAACCACGCCCCTGATGCCATCCAGAGCGACAGTCTGACATACAGTAGATACAGGAGGTGCTAAGCAATTTTGTTATTTATGTGGACTAGAAAAGACATTTTGAATCTTCAAAGACACAATTGGTGTGTTCAGTGTTATGAATGCATGTAGTTTTTTATTCTGTGTATGAAAAAACATAATGCTATAGTAGTACAACAGAGTGAAACACATCACCATGAACTCACTAACGAATATAATGGGATGCCACACAGTCCCCATCGGCATGTTGCCTCATTTTGTGGCTCTGACAGTGTGTCAGAGTGGTTATTGTGGAGACAGTGCTGCAGGTGACAGTGGAGGCACTGTGGCTTCAGAAAAGCAGAGTGTAAAATGTCAGTTCCACATCAATAATGCAGGACGCCAAAACAATGGGAGCAAGGCAGTGGGGTCCAGTGTTGGCCCCGTCTTGTCCCTTTCTCTCAATGTGCAGTTTGAAACTATTAGATAACAACAAATTATTTGTTCAAATAGATTATACTACAGACTAGATATCCTAATATAGCCCCAATAAAGCACCCGGTGTGCTTGAAACCAGCATTGAGAAAGCTATTATACTTTTAAAAAACTGGGTGGTTCACATCTTATAGAAAATGATTTATTTCCACTCTCTGTCTGTCTCTCATTCTCTTGTTGTTAAGGCATGATCACTGTGGTTAATGAGACAGGCCTCAGCGCATGGGGCCAAACCCTATCGGAGACAGCGCCGCTAGTTGAGTGAATACAGCTGACACCCTCATTCATCATGCATCTACAGGGTGCTGCCTGGCTGCTCTCGCAGTCTATCCATGCCTGCCCCTCTCTGTCTCTGTCTCACTACCCAGTTGCACTGTTGGATGATAATTATTAAGGCATTATGATGGCAAGCAGTGCTTTTTTTTCGAAGGGAAAAACGGCCTCAGCTACGTGCTGGGATGATTATAGCCGTGACAGAGGGTTGCCATTCTGTGATGTTGATTGTGCAGCTGCAACGATATCCAAGAATAGATGTGTACACCTACTGCACAGTGGTGTTAGCCGGCGGACTCTCTGCTGCTTGACGCGTGGTTATGCCTCTGAAATCCTACCTCTGCAAACCAAAATGATTTTAAGAAGGAAGTGCGGACTTCACTTTAAAGCAATAATAAGAGTGGTGTTTAAATGTGCTTATATTTTGCCATTTCCCCTCCCCCATATTTATAACCGTCAAAAAATGCCATATAAGCAACCATGCAATATTAAAATGTTAGAGATGTAACTTAACAGCCATGCATAATTGGTGCTCTCTTGATTTAAAATCAGTTAGCTAGGTCACAATATTACAGTATCGCGGCCCTCCTTTGACATTTGTTCTATGAAACACTGATGAGCAAGAGAGATTCTCACGTTGTAGAGATCGTTTACTCTGTTATTGAAAGCAGGAAGTGTCTTAATCCCAGTTTTGTTCCGACTGCCTGTCACTAGAGTTAATCTTTAAAAGATATTGGTCACGTTCTTTGTTTTCTTAGGGATGTTCTCTGTACATTTGAATCCCTTTATCCTCACAGATCACTTTGCCAGAAAGGACACCCATCACAGGGATGTTTTTTTTTATTCTGGGCTGTCTGCCAACGGCTGAAGCCAGCTTGGTTCTGAATGAGGCATTTCTTAAGAGGCAGCCTCTTGGCCATGCTTTCACAGGGAGCCTCTTGAAACAGCAGGGGGCTCGGCATGCGGTTTCAGCTTTGCTTAAGCTGGTAGAAGGATGAAACTCCAGCTTCCTGTGAAATGAGGATGTTGTGGACTGATTGGTTTTGTTTTGTATGATTTACTGAAATAGGTGCAACAACGGTGCACACGTGATGTATAGGCAGATATTCAAATTATTACGGGTCAAAAGTCATCGTTCTTCACACCAAAATCTTAGTGGTCACCCTGTCAATATGCGCAGGTGTGAAACCCCAGTTTGCTTTCCCCCAAACTCTGTGGTTGCATTTCTGTTACAGCAAATGTTCTTACTTTTGAAGAATGTAAATTTGTAACAGTACGCAGAGCATCCTTTGTACCTCCCCGCATCATGTTCCGCCTCAACATCCATTTCATACATCAGATTATGCAGGCAACAAAAATACAATTTCTTTGTGAATTAACTCCTTATGTCATCTCAACATTTTGCTTTTAGGCGTATAACAAATACAATAAAATTTGTTTGCAGAGTCATGGGTTGCTCCTTTGTCGGTCAGATCAGATCTGTTGCCGTCTTCAAATCTCTCCCTCTTTGTTATTCAGCACACTGCATTGAACAGGGATCAAAGTAAAAACGCCAAAAGCCAAATTAATTTCTTGACTCAACTGAACACATTTTTTACAGCCTTCCTGCAATACCACCTCTTATTTAACACTGGCTGTGTTTATTTAAGGATGTGCCAGGTACATTCATACCTGCTTGCACCTGTTGACCCCGGAATGAGTGTGTGTGGGTGTGTGTGTCTGTAGATACGTTTCTTATCTCAAAGGTTGAAATTATGACAGTGTGACAGAATAGCCTCGGGGTCGGCAGGCTGACACTGTCTTCAACAGCATCACAAGGACCTCTGCTAGGAACACATCACAGCCTCCGGTCGACACCGCAGTGGTTTGCCTTGCCACTCATCGGGGGTTTAATATTCAATTATGAGGGTCATTTAGTTCAAGCTGTGTTGGATTGCTTGTGGGACAGCCCCGCTGATTGATGAGAGGGCATCTCGGCTCAACAAGCTGCCAGTTTGCCCCTGAAGGAGGAAGAAACCAGGCAGATGGCTTGTGGGGGTGTTTTTACTGACGTGGCAAGAGTTTCTTGTAGTTTTGCCTTATTAGTCGTATAAACAGTAACAGGAGTGCAACAGTGAGTCAGTGCTTCAATCAGATCAAGCTTTTTTTAAAGTGGCAATCCCTTAAGATTTCAGTCCTGGTTTAGGTCCCAGAATGCTGGGGGCAGCAGAACAAACAATTGTTGTTTTAATAAAGAAATCCGGACATAATTGGCTTTTTTTCCATCATTCTGTGACCAACTGTGATCTAATTTTATGCTGCACACGGCACAATTCTGCAAAAGTGAAAATACATGGTTACCTAGCTGAAAGGTTTGAGGTGTGCAGGCTGTCGCCTCACTGTGGCTGAAAGTGACCTTTTGTTTTATTTTGTAGAAGCATTTTGATCAATGATAAGGTCAACGTGAAGCTCACTGACAAACCCATCGCATTTTGTGACTTCTTCAAAATTAAAGTCAACTCCTGTTTCACCAGTAACTTGCTTGTAATGTCGAGCTGCTGCAGTAGGAAATGTTGACTTTGCATTAGCAGTAACTTAAGACACCTATTACTCACTATTGTGTTACCTTTATTTGGCGATAGATGGGGACATTTATTTAATTAAAATCTTCAAGATTGACACTTTTTTTACATGCATAGTGAAATCATGAACCCCCTTTTTTTTCCTTGGAAGTAATGCAATTAACATGCATTGAAGTGTGTGCAGTATGGTCTGATTTTATACACAAATGAGGCATCAAGGGCGAATGTGTAAAGGAGTTCTTTCAAAATGCCTGCGGACGGGTAACATGACAGTGTCATCCCACTGCATTTCAGTTTGTTTCTGTAACAGTCTGTCAAACTGTCACATGCAGCTGAGTCCGGAGGAGTGCAGGTTTTACAGTGTTGTGCTGACAAACAAGCAGACAGATAAAGAGGCGGAGAGGGAGAACCGTGAGGGGAGAGCAGCTCCTCCTCTGTCATCTCATGGCAGATAAGATTCTTGGGCAGTCAGGTATTCGGACCTTGCCGGTGGGCCGTTTCTTGGCTGAAAGCGGGACCAAGCTGTCGGTCAGCTTAGCGCTGTGAGCCATTGGTGGGAGTGCAGTCCTGTCCTCGGGCGGGGGACAGCCGTTAGACAGATCCCCATATCCCCCAACACACAGGCACGCATGCAACCCCCACTGAAGAATGAAGGGGCGAGATCAAGCCAGGTCATGGGAGGCTCTTTTCAAATAAATTCCTCCTTCGGGAGACTGCTGCCTCCTCTGTGCCCTTCATGCACATGTGCATGTATTTACCCTCGAACACACACTCAGTTCGCTCTGAAGACAGACAGCAAAAACACTGACTAACTGCTTGCCATCCAGTGTTTATGGGTCACTGATTCTACACTGGCCTGTAGCTGCTGTGTGTTACAGAAAAATACTTTAAAGTGCAATTTTTAAAGATTAAGCTATATTTCATATCAAAAGGTGCAATCGTCATACACAACACCAAATAAAATAAAACATATACATCATACAATCTTTTCAAACATATATTTTTAGTATTAATATTAAATAAATGGTATACCAGTATGTGTAACTTCACTATGGTGCCATTCTCATTATCTGG